CAGGGTCGTCCCAATATGCGTTTTTGCAATTTGCATATAGGCAAAAACGCATAAAAACCGAAAAAAGCGAAACCCACGAATAAAAGCTGAAGAAAGCAAAAGCAAATAAAAACCGAGGAAGCAGGAGCGAAAAACAAATAAAAAACTTAACAAAAAGAAAATTTATGGGTGAAAATTGCCTTATAAAAGCCCATCTTCAGTTTCATAAATGGGGAAGCACACCACTAGTTATTCCTTTCGCCAGTTTAGATTTTTCTTTGATTCATTTTTCTTTGTACTGCTCCGTTGCCTTCCCCTCTTTACTGCTGTCTCCAGTTCCTGCCTCAAACTCCTAAACAGTACCTCTTGTCCTTCTCTCTATATTACTCCCAAATTCTACCCGCAGGGTGGCATATGGTCACTAGTAAGGCGAAAGGGACAACACAGCAGTACAGGGAAAACTAAATTAAAAGAAAAGCCTAAAGTTATGGAAGAAAAGCCGAAAAAAGCGAAGCCCACGAATTAAAGCTGAAGAAAGCAAAAGCAAATAAAAATCGAGAAAGCAGGAGCAAAAAACAAATAAAAAACAGCAAAAAAAACTTAGCACCTACCACCCTACAACCACTGTCACCGTTAATCGTTTGGAATTCCTCACCGGCGCCCCTACTCAATTCATGCTCCCGGAGCTGCATCTGGGCACCCACCCACTACCACCCCGAACCACGATAACCCCTCCGTCCTGCATCCCCCTTAACCTCGGATTTCAGTCGTAGTGCGCTATGTAGCATTATACAGCGACTCATGCAAAGTCCCAAGCGGCGTTGGGAAATTCGCTGTGAAACAGCTTCAGCAAAGATGCTAGGATAAAGGCCGAGCCGAGTTGAGTTACACTGATTAGCTGTTTTCCCTCCCTTTGCCATGACCACAAGGATTCCTCTTTCCTGCGCGTTGGGAAGTTCCTGTACCCAAAAGCACCAAAAAGACCATAACATGGTACTAACTGAGAATTCCTCTTACCTATGCGCTGTGATGTCCTTATGAACACAGGCGCCACAAGATTCTGTGACCGAGGCTTGCTGTCAGGTTTGCCACACTCCTAGGCCCCAAAATGTCCATTTCCCCTTTTTTTTTGACCAAAAGCAAAAGCACAAGAACTTATGAGGCACAAAAATTAAAGCTAGAAAGATGCTGAAATCAGAAAAGAGCGAAGCACACATGCTTTGTACATGCTTATTCTGATATCATCAGAATCATCTTTGCAAATGGCGAGATTCCCGAGACCGAAATTCCATTAGTCCCCTCTTCCCTCCTCTCCCCCACCTCGCCATTAATAAATAATGGGTAGACGCCTTGTTGGTCGCTTCTGCATGCAAAGAGACAAGAAAAAGTAGCAGCAGTAGTCTTTATCATTCAAAATTTCAATTCAAAAATAGAAACGAGATAAACCATCAGTGATAAAAAAGCTCACTGGCAAAGACTCGCTTAGTTTCACGAATAAACCCTGATAATTTAACTATAGTAAAAGTATAGTCCCGTCTCAATAAGCGACATAATAAAAGTTATTTTTCTCTTCTTCTTCTCTCTTCCTGCCTTCCATTCCATTTTCCCCTCATCTCTAAACACCGCGACCGTCATACTGACGAGTTCCAATCGTGGTGTTGAGCTAAGACGTATATGACTTAATCGACCGAAACGTCTTAACTCTTACTCACTTATTCTTCCTACACCAGCTATATTTCTACACCTGTACATACACAGTTTCTTCTATTCCTGCCCTATTTAAGTTCTTAATATTACTCGTATGCTACAACCATGCAAGAATCAGCTTAGCTGGAAAATTCGGGGCTTACTGAAGTTGAATTTGCACGTAACAATCATGAGGTAGCGATTCTAGATCATCTGTTTCAACGTGTTTTTTGCCAAAAAACTAAAAACAAAAACAGAAAAGACACAAAATTCCAAGTAATTTTGGAATAGGTTATAAAAAATTTTGTGTTTAAAATAGAAGGTAAGTTACAAAAACAGAAATTCTGCACTTAAAAAAAAACAAAACAAAAAACCCGCATATTTCGGTCGAATTCTTCTATCCTCAGAGAAATACCTTCATTTTTTTTTCTTCGAAAAATTTTACGCTCCCCTAATAATGAAAGAAAGAGATCTTAGTGGTAACAGATTCCAGTTAAAGTGCACTATTACAGATACTATAAAAATAAAAACACTTGGTTTGAGCAACATTCAGTCATCCAAAGTGACATTACGGAAAAGCTGTCCCATACTTTCGCGGTGATTGATGCATCGTATTGCTTCACAGATGAGCAGCGAAATGTCCACTGTCTGGATTTTGTGGCAGCGTAATTTTTGCATGTCATGTGGGATTGTATTGGTCACAATCACCTGCAAATTTCATTGTTTAGCTTAGAAGAGTAGTTGGGGCGAATAAAAAAAAAACCCCTTTATTATAAAATATAACCACCATCTTCATCTATCTAGCTAGGTTTAATAACCCAAATTTGAGGGACAAAACGAAAGGCAAGGTCGCCAGTAGGCTGACTACTGAGCAAAGCAGCACTACTATAGAACAGGCTGCACAAACAGAGTGTCAAATTGTGAATTAAATCGCGAATTATTTCATGCAATCCAGGTATTTGAGTCAAAACTCTATCCATATTTCCTTCCTTCTTTCTCAGTGAGCAACTGTTACTGAAATCTGGATTGGTCACTGTACCTGGTCAATTACGCTTTCTTCAATTAGTACTGGTGCATCGCCAGAGAGAAGTGCGTGCGTTGCAACAACATAAATTTTATAAGCTCCTCTTTGTTTCAGCACCTGAAAACAAAATTAATGGTTTAAACGATACGCATTTATAACATTTATGCAATAATAATGCAATATACTAAATCTGAACAGACCACTAAAACATCATCAGAACTGTGGTGCCTTGTTCGTCCCTCAAATTTGGGTTATTAAACGACACTTTCCTATTTCCACTATACTGAATATTAAAATAGCTATTAATTTATTGCCCAATTTTTCAACTATACAGCTGACAAGTTCATCAACTGCTGCAGACCGATGTTGCATAGCTTGATGGTCAGTTTGGTGACAATTCCGACGTCCGATTCGTTGCCTGAAGGAACTACCAGCTCAACATCCCCTCGGTCAGAGGTACATATTGAGGCTTTAGGCATTTCGAATTGTCTCCAATGTGTGTCATCACCTCGTCCCGAACGCTGTCGTCCCTGGACTATGACGGGATGGTTCACCGAAGAGGAGTTTTTCACACTTTTTTTGCTTGAATATGGCATGATTCCATTCCCTAACATTTATTCGCTCGCTTTTTAACGAATAAGCATTTGCGCACTTCCAAAACGCCCTTTCAAGCAAACTCTGCATATTCTTATTTGAATCAAGCATCTCAGTAATCTCAAATTTTTCGCCTCTCTTACGCTGCCCCTATAAATTAATTTTTTGCTTTTTTATGCATTTTGTGCTGAAAAAGTTACAAAAAACGCACAAAACCACACCCCTGTGTGTGTGTGTGTGTGTGTGTGTGTGTGTGTGTGTGCGCGTCCGTGTGTGTGTGTGTGTGCGCGTCCGTGTGTGTGTGTGTGTGCG